AGCACTTGAAACAGTTCCTTCGCAGTTGACTTTCCCAATGCTACACGTCGTCTAATGTCCTGACTGCTGCTTCCGTTCTTCATGATATTCTGTTATTATCTTTTTTATTTCAGTTGCTTTTGTTGTGACATCACCCATTTCATTTCTCATTTGTGTTTTTGCATCTTCTCCTTTTCCTTTGTTAGATATACCAATAGATTTTCAATTTTACTAATCCTTTCAAGGAACCAACTGCCAGTCTTATGTAATCTTTCTGTTGTTTGTCTGTACTCTTTTTCATTTATTTCTGCTCCAATCTTTATTATTTCTTTTCTTTTCATGACTAGAGGCTTTTTTTTTTTTTTTTGCTGCTCTTTGTCTAATTATTAGTGATGTTTATTTTCATTTTTTTTTCCTTTTTTTGATATGTGTGTTTATAGAGAAGGAGCTCTGGCGGCATAGTGCCTAAGGCATTTGACTGCTATAAATTGCCCTCTGAGCACTGCTTATGCTGTGTCCAAAGATTTTGGTATGTTGTATTTTCATTCACATTTGATTCAAGGAATTTTTTTTTTAATTTCTTCTCTTATCTGGTAATTTTAAAACAAAGTGTTATTCAGTTCCTGTGTTTCATTATTTCTGGTGCTACTTTCAGGATTCTTTCTTTTTGTTTGGTTTTGGAAAGTTTGATTATGATGTGTTGTGATTACTTTCATTTGGAGTCTGTCTGTTTGGTGTTTGTTGAGTTTCTTGAATGCATATCTTCTCATCTTTTATGATATTAGGGAAGTTTTTTCCAACAAATCTTTAACAATTTTCTGGTGCTTTTTTTTTTTTTTTGGTCTCTTTTTGTTCTGAAATTCTGATTACACATCTTATTCCTCTTGATCATGTCCCATATAAATCTTAGGCTTTCTTCATTTTTTTTATTTCTTTTTCTGACTGTTCCTCTAACAGAGTACTATTTTGAGAGATTTGTCTTTAGTCTCACTAATTCTATCTTCCATTTATTCAATTCTACTCTTATATCCCTTAAAATGTAATCTACATCTGAAATCTTAGCATGAATCCTGGATTTCTACTTGTTGTTTTTCTATGGCATCTGATTTTCCCTTTTCTATTTGTTATTGTATTGTTTTTCTTAATTATTTTAGAGTTTTTCTTCTGGTTTTTTTTTTTTTTTTCCATCATGTTTTCCTTGATCTTTCTCTCAATCTGTTGAAGGTACCTAAATAGAATTGTTTTGAATTCCTTATCAGGTAGTTCTAATGCCATTTCTTAAGAGAGGTTTTTTGATCTATATTTTTTCATCTTGTTTGTGCCACTCTGTCTTAATTTGTTGTTTGAACTGAGTTTATATGTTGTCTCTAAGACATTGTGGTATTGTATTTGTATTTAATTGGTGGTCGTATGTTGGTGTGTGTTTTGGTAACTTTCTGCTGCTCTAACAGAAAATACCACAAATGGGTGACTTTAACAAATAGGAGTTTATTCTTTTACAGTTTTGGAAGCTAGAAGTATGAGTTCAGCGTGTTAAGCTGGGTGAAGGCCTCGTCCTTGGGCTTCAGCTCTGAATCTTGCTCCCAGCCCACTGGAGCTGGAGGTGTCTCTTCACTCAGGCAGCTGCTGGCAGTTGAGGCTGACAAACCCAAGATTGTCAAGACAAATATAATGGCAAACCCAAGACAAATGTAATGGTACAGTCCCAATATTATCACAAAACATGGCAGGTCACTAGTGGAAGTTCCAAGACATTCCCAAGATTGGCAGGAAACATGGCAGGGTGCTAAATGAAAACTTGGCCACATGCAGGATTCAAGTATGCCAAAAAGCTCAGAGACCTTCCTCAAAGCTGCTGCTTATATACTGGAAGCAGACCACATCCCTAGGGCAGCTACTCAGCTGTTCCAGTAGATTCCACCATGAGGTTGATTACCAATCTCACTATGGAGAATAACTACTTCCAGCTGCCTAGCCACTCAAAACCAGGCCCAGCCAAGTTGATGCATAACCTTAACTACCGCATTGTGTTTTGCCCAAGTTTTAACTTTTTTACTTCTTTTTTTTTTTCAAGATTTTCATTTTCTTTTCTTTTTTTTTTTTTAGTTTTTTGATGTATTTGAGTGAGTGGGGTATATTTGCTGTTCTGCTTACTAGTTTCACAGATATAAAGGCTCACCATGTGCCTCTGATGGGTATAATAGAGGATGGGAGTGTGTGCACAGTTTTTTGTTTGGTGTATGTGTAAAGCAGTTGAGGGTGAGTCACGATGATATTGGCTGCCATCTATCATTGATCAGGCAGTGCAGAAGTAGGTGGTGGCCCTTCCCCATTAGATGGGGCTGCAGGAGGTATGAATATGCCCGGGCAGTGTGGGCACCATTGATTTCTGGTCGCCAGCTACTGCTGTGGGTGCCTGTGCAGTCCTGGGTGAGCAGAGCCAATTATCATAATGTTGCTTGCAAAGATTCAAAATGGCTGCACTGTGTTAGGTCAGCTGACAATTCACAGCTTTGTTGGTCTCCTTGTTCACTCTTTTCATTCAGTTTCTTTTTCTAGTCAGTATTTCATCTACTTCTTTATCGTTCCTTTTGAAGCTCTGGGTTCCAAGACTATCATCTGTATTTGTTTCATTTGTATTATCATGTCTTTGTTGTAGAGGATCTGGGTAGCTTGTCTGCTTAGACTGCCATCTTGCCAGAAGTCCCTCTCATTTATATTTATAACAAATTTATTGAAATTAGCTTTTTGGACACTCATGTATATAAGCTTTTGAAAGTGAGTCATGATTTGATAGTTAGGATTGCTTTTCATTAATTCTTTTCTTATTTAGCATATTATTTAGCAGTGATGCTTTCAGTATTGTAATTCATATTGTTGTTGTTAGGTGATGTTCAGTAGATTTTTTTTACTCATAGTAATCCCATGTGACAGAGAAGAACTGCCCTACAGGGTTTTCTAGGCTGTAATCTTTACAGGAGCAGATCACAGATCTTTCTCTCATGGAGCCACTAAAAAAAAACAAAATCAAACTCACTGCCATGAAAGCGGATCTGACTCATAGCAACCCCTCCTTGGGTTTCCAAGGCAGTGTCACTACAGAAGTAGATTGTGCAACCTTCCTTCTGAAGAGTGGCTGGTGGGTTTGAACTACCAGCCTTCTGGTTAGCTGTCAAGTGCCTTAGGCACTATGCCACCAGAGCTCCTTCATGGAGCCACTTGGTAGTTTCAAATCACTAACTTTTGGTTAGTAGCCAAACATTTAACTTAACTGTTGCTCCACCAGGGTTCTTGTAATTCATGTTAGTCTTTTTACTTGGGATATTTGTGAGTCACAACCCTATTGGAAATTTATGATTTCACACTCTTGCTTTCTCTTTCTCCCTAGGTAGCTGGGCAGCCATTGAGTCCCTCTGCCCAGCAGTCTCAACAGGGGCTCAGCCCCTCCCACATACAAGGCAGTTCCTCAGGCCAAGGTCAATCACTTCAACAGCAGCAGCAACAGCAACAAAATTCATCTGTACAACACACATACCTACCCAATGCTTGGAATTCCTTCCGTGGTTATTGTAAGTAAGGAAAAAGGGGATGGTGCAATAGATCATAGGTGGGGAATCTCTAGCCATTAGTCATAATTTCATCAGCTTTACAATAGATTTTTTCTGGATTAAATTGTCGATTGATCATTTTCTACATTCTATAGTACACATATCTAAAAGAGTTCCATGGCAAAATTCAGGCAGTATTTTGATCCCAGAGAGCCACTCTTGTTATAACATTTTCAGAGATAATAGGTATTAAGATTTCTGGAGAAGTTTATGTAGGTGGTTTAAATAGTAGAATAGATGGATGTAGGATATTATTTGAATAATTTCTTTCAGAAGAATTGGCATAATACTCATCCCTATGAGGCAGAGGTTAAAAACTTCCCAAATGTCCAACTTTTCCAAACTGCTATACCACTCTACCAAAAATACCAAAAACCAAACCCACTGCTATTGAGTTGTTTCCAACTCATAGCAACCCCCATTGGGTTTCCACAGTTACAGATCTTTATGGAAGTAGATTGCATCATCTTCCTGCTGTGGAGCAGCTGGTGGGTTTGAACCACTGACCTTCTGATTAGCAGCCAAATGCCTTATGCTCTGTGCCACCAGAGCTCCTTCTGTACCATTCTGTCATCTCTTAAATCAACTCCTTTTCCTCCCCTCAGTACTTTCCCACCTGTCTTAGGGTTCCTTATTTTGCAATAACATCTCATAGAACTCACACACTGCCAGTAAAATGGTTCATGTGGTGGTGGGGGCTGGGAAGCTGGCAAGTCCCAAATCTGTGGGTTAGGCATAGATCTGGGGGATTCTCCTCACTCATGTGGTTGCAGGGACTGGTGAAACCAAATAGGCAAACCAGACAACTTGTTGCTATCTCAAGGCCAGAAGTGAGATGATGACAAACCAAATGCAGGATCTGTAGCAAGAGAGAGCTAACTATGCTAATACATTCACATATATACCCTTAAAGAATTAAGAGTATGGCCTTGAGTCACATCCTTCAGCAAGTCACTACTCAAGGTACGTCACACCCTCAACAGGCATAAAGGCTAGGATTTACAATACATCACAAAATGGACAACTATGGCTGGAAAGGCCATATTAAGCAATTTACTGCACTGCAGATATGTTGATAGTATTGATTCATCTTTCTCACAAATATTTATTGAATGTTTACATATGTCAATCACTATGCTAGTCCTTGGGTATATAGAAATTAATATTATTAATATTAGTAATGATCACAGTAAACATTAATTAGTGGAGGTATTCATGTTTAAGTGGTAGTGTTCTTACCTTCTGTTCTGGTGCTGCTCTGACAAGAATATCCCATAAATGGGATGGCCTTAACAAACAGGAGTTTATTCTCTTACAGTTTGGAGGCTTTAAGTTCAAGTTCAAAGTGCCAGGCTCTAGGGGCTGGGTGAAAGCCCCTCAACCTTGAGTTCTAGCTCTGCCTCCTGCTCCTGGCCCACTGGGACTAAAGGCATTTCTTCACTCAGACAGCTGATGGCTGCTGAGGTTGAGAAGCCCAAAGTTGACAATTAAAAGGTACAGTCCTGATGTTACCAAAGCACACAGCAGGCCATTAATTCAAGTTCATTTTAAGTCCCAAGGTTGGCAGAGCATGGCAGGCTGCTGAACAATGACATGGCTACATGCGGGGTCCAAGCATGCCCTATGCTGGAGACCATTCCCAAAACTGCTTCTTATATATGGGAAGCACACCACATACCCAAAGCAGCTACTCAGCTGCTTGTGGTAGATCCCACCATGCTAATCATGGGAAATAACTCCCCCCAGCTGCCCAGCCACTCAACCAGGCCCAGCCTAGTTGACACACAAACATAACCACCACACCTTCCATGAGGCAGACCTGGATTCAATTCCTGGCCAGCACACCTTATATGTAGCCACCATTTGTCTGTCAGTGGAGGTTTGTGAACAGATGTCAGCAGAGCTTCCAGATAAAGATGGACTAGGATGAAAGGCCTAGTTATCTATTTCTGAAAACAGCTGACGAAAACTTCATGGATCATAGAGGTCCAGTCTACAACTGATCATTGGGATGACACAGGACTAGGTAGTGTTTTGTTCCATTGCGCATGAGATTTCCATAAGTCAGGGGCCTACTTGATGGCAGCTAACTAAAACAACAATACGTATTAACCTTTTCTGTGTGTTGTGAATGATTCTTAAATATGTATATATATAAAATATACTACATTTAGTTGTTGTTGTTGTTATGTGCCACCGAGTCTGACCTGACTCATAGCAACCCCTCCTTGGGTTTCCGAGGCAGTATCACTACAGAAGTAGATTGCCCCATCTTTCTTCCAAGGAGTGGCTGGTGGGTTTGAACCGCCAGCCTTCTGGTTAGCAGTCAAGTGTCTTAGCCACTATGCTACCAGAGCTCCTACTACATTTAGTATTCACAGCATATTGATATGATTATCATTTGCATTTTACAGATAAGGCAATTTAGACGTAAAGTAACTTGTCCAAGGAACATAGTTGACTCTGTAACTCACCATCTAAACCACCCTGTTGTTCTGACTCTCCTAATAAGACAGTCTTTGGCTCGGAGAGACCATCATGTAGTGGAAGAGACAAATAGATAAATGGTTCATTCTAATGCTGTTAGATCAGTGCTATGGAAGTGGTAATAGGCTACCTGCCAGAGGTCAGAATAGGTAAAGATCTTGGTGAGGATGACAGCTTTGGTTATAGGCTGGAAAGGATGAGACTTTTATTATTGAAGGTGTGGAAGGGACAGGGAGAGAGGTCATAGTTGGTCCTGAATAGGAGGAAACTACCAGAAATGGGACCAAGAAGAGAGGAAGGTCAGTGTTGACCTTTTGCCTTCTACTGATTTCTTCTTTTGGGTATCCATATTGGTTGTGATTGATCCATGACTATGTTACATACATTTGCTATGGAGTTAGTCTCAAGCTCTAACATTTAATCATTTTTACATCTATTTTTCAAAATTTTGGTGGTCATAATGAAGGCTGGGTCTAGTTTCCAGTCAGGAAAAGATTCTTGTATTCATGGTAAATATCAAGAGCATTCTGATAGACTGACATTTATACTCAATTTAATTCCTGTGGAAGAAAGTAGATTAATGAAGATATCCATGATAATAATAATATGAGCTGGCATTCTAAGTTGAAAGAAAGAATCCAGAAGAGAAATTTTCTATTGGGAAAAATTTCAAAATATATGAAATTAGAGAGAATAGCATAATGAATCACTGTTCCCATTATCCAGCTTCAACTCATGTTGTCAATTTATAGCCATCCTTCTTTTATCTATATTCTTATTCTTTCCTTATCTTTTAGCTAGATTATCATCCAAACATCATATTATTTTATGCATGTAGATTTTAGTATGTATCTCTAAAACACAGGAATATTTTTAAAAAACATACCACCAGTACTGTTATTACACCTAAAATAAATAAGAGTAATTATTTAACCATCTACTTTATATTTCCATGATTGTCTCAAATTTTTTTCTAAATTTTGTATTTTGTTGTTGAGAATATACAGCAAAGCATAGATCAGTTCAAATTTCTACATGTATAATTCAGTGACATTGATTACACTCCTCGAGTAGTACAACCATTCTCACCCTGCTTTTCTAAGTTGTTCCTCCCTCATTAATATAAATTTACCCCCTAAGGTTCCTATCTAATCTCTTAAGTTGCTGTTGTCAATTGGATCCCAAATAGATAGCTCTTAAAAGAGCACCATGCTCAAGGCAGACTTGTTATACTAGGTAAGCTAAACTATTTTTCACTTATAAGATGAACTAAGGGGATATTTTTGGTTTAAGGTTTAAAGATTATCTCAGGGCAACAATTGTAGGGGTTCATCCACCCTTCATGACTCCAAAAAGTCTACAGTCCTTGAAAATTTAAAATTGTGTTCTGCACTTGCCCCTTTTGATCAGAATTCCTCTATTGAATCTTTGATCAAAATACTCAGTTATGGTACCTGGGTACCATCCAGTTCCTCTGGTCTTATGACAAAGGAGACAAGTTGTTCATGGAGAAAATTAGCCACACATTCTACATCCTCCTCCTATTCCTGACTCTCCTTCTGTTGTTCCAGGTGAATACAGACCAATTGTGTGTTGGCTGGCCACGTGTAAGCTTTTAAGAGTCCAGCCACTACACAACGAATTACGAGTTAGAAGCACTAAACATGTTATTAGGCCAATTAACTGGTATGTTCCATGAAGTCATGACCCTAAACTTCTAAAGTGAGGAATCAAATTCCAAGAGGTGTTTGGTTGTGTATAAGCAGCCTTAGAAGCTTATATATCTGTTTTTGGTCATTGTTGTAAATATATTTATCATACAACTTTTGCCAATTCACCTTTTTATAGGTATACAATTAATTGGCAACAATTACCATAATTGGCTGTGCAACCCTATCCTTAAAGAACACAATATTTCCATCCCCATTAACCATTTCTTTTCCTTCTACTTCTTGCCCCTTGTAACCACTAATAAACTTTAGACTATATACATTTGCCTTTTCTTGCCTTTTTATATAACTGAGTAATACAGCATTTGTCCTTTTGTGATTGGCTTATTTCACTCAGTATAATGTCTTCAAGCTCCATCTATACTGTAGCATGTATTAAGACTACATTTCTTCCACTGTATATATGGTAGTATTCCATGTATGTACCATGTATGTATGTACCACATGTTGTTTATCTGTTCATCTGTTGATGGGCATTTAGGTTGTTCTACTTTTTGGCTATTGTGAGTGAACATTGGAGTATGAGTGTCTTTATGAGTCTCTGCTTTCAAATCTTTTGGGTAAATACCTAGAAGTAGAATTGTTGGGTCATATGGTAGTTTTATTTTTAGTTTTTTGAGGAGCCATTACACTTTTCCACAACAGTTGTATGATTTTGCATTCCTACCAGTAATGAAAAATGGTTCCAATTTCCCCATATCCTCGCCAATACATGTTTTCTGTTTTTTTAGCACTAATTATTCA